TCTGGCCTGGGGGGGCGGCAGAGTTGTTGCTCTCACATATTCTCAGTCTTCCCTCCAGCTGCAATTGCTGCGTGCCCTTTTTTTCCCCTTCTTAACTATGTTACCCCAGAGGTGCTACCACCATCGCTGATGGGCTCGGCCTTGGCCAGCAGTGGGTCTGGGGAAGTTTCTAGCAACTTCTCACAGGAGCCACCCCTGCAACCCCCACCATTACCAAAACCTTGCCACACAAACCCAGTACATAGGGCTGTCATTTTTACCATAGAAATAGTTCTCTCTCTATCGTTTTGGAACGATTTTGCAGAATTACTTATATTTGTTCTTGTTTCCACATGTATTTAACATGTTTGTACAATGAAGGAGCAACTGTGTGTCCCATAATGGAATGATTATATTACCAAAGTACTGCTCCTAAATTGCGTTGTATGTTGAATCGTGGTATGTCATCAATTCTATCAGAAGTAAACAGTTTTATAATCTGAGCACGTAAAGGGTGATAGCTGTTCTTTCCTTCCTTCTGTGATCTCTTTAAATGTTTTGTTAGATGTTGGCTGCTGCTTTATATGATTTCTACTCAAATGTTAAGTAACTGATAGTTTCATTTTGAACTGACATTCGCTCATCAAAGATAAGGGAGCCTGGATGTGTGGATATGTCATTTTCACCAGCAGTATCATAAGTAGTTGTGGTTTACATTTATATTGGCTCCATAGCATGTGGCCAACTTCAGGTAAACATTGTGTCTTTTATTTCTCTAAATCCTTAGGTACACTCAGAGACACACTAAGTAAAAGAGGAGTTCGGGTTATAACAGGCTTAGGAAAGTATTTCCGACACATAGACAAGAACAGAAATGGTTTTCTCTCTCAGGCAGACTTTAAAGAAGCTCTAAAAGTATTCCATTTGGAAATACCTGAAGGGGTAAGTCTAGCTGAAACTGTAGTCATGGGTATTATCTTAATTTAATTTATGGAATCACTTCCTTTCTTTTCTTCAATCTATAGTTTTAATAGCTATTTTTTTTGCAAGGTTTTTTTCCCCTTGTGGTATATTGGCATTTCTCCATTCAGTCCTATGTGGAATTCTTAAAAATTAAAAAAAAAAAAAAAAAAGTGCAATCTTTTTACATCATGAAGAAGCAAGTGGGATTGCAATCTTTTTTTTTTCCTTTTAAAAGTAATTTATATGATGCTATTTACTTATCTTTTTTCTTGATTTTATATATTATGTTTTAAATACAGCCCACAGCTATCAAAACTGCAGATAATGTGAATTCGGTAATCAGTGACCGATTTTGATGAATCTTTGAGTCAGTTTTGATTCGGAAGTTGTTTTTTTGTGAGAATACTGTAATTTCCTATTATAGCAATTGTTTCATTCTAGGACCTAGTGAAGAACTTTGGCAAAATATTTTTAAATTGCAGGACTTTGAATCTTTATGGCTTATTCTTGATGACAGCAAGAGTGATAAGGTTGACTGTGGAGAATTTACTCGTGCTGTATTTGGAGAAATGAATGAATATCGGAAAGCATTTGTAAGAAAAGTAAGTTTTGTTGCAGATATTCTATGTGTAGATATTTTGGAGTCTAACTTTGAAGTTTCTTATTTGGCATGTTCTGGTTGGTTTTTTTTTTGTTGTTGTTGAACTGTGCATCTTGTAATTGACTGTTTAAACTTTCAGATCAGTTTATTAAAGTTTATTAAAAGATATAAATTAGACGACTGCATGCTGTTCCATTGTTGAATTAGTTAATTTTGAAGTCTAGAATTCCTTTATTATTTTGAGTTTATGTGCATGTGTGCTATTCTTACAGTTCAGTCCAGCGTATAAAGCATCTGGCAACCTGAAACTATCTCCTCCAGAAGTCTGTTTCCTTATTTTGTATCTGTGTGCATATTTTTTTTTTCCTTCAGTGTCTGGAATAGAGGCAATAACACTTGCCTCCTTTGAGACCTACAGTTAGAGTCATTATATCTGTGAGATTTCTAATATTTCAAATGCCATTTGTTATATTTCTATAATGCAATGTGGAGCTGTTTGCAGTATGAAACACTGATTACAAATCAGCCAATAGAGTAGCCACTGGATATCAAAATCAAGAAAAATGACACATACGTTCATACTTCTAATCATGGAGGATCTGACTCTCCTAGAATTATGTATTGAGCATGTGTATTTGAGTAAACTGAAGTGAAAATGAAGCTGCTGTTGGCAGTGCTGAAGAGGCTGTGTCAAGAATGGCCTGTCAAGAATGATGCAGGAATCTTAGTAATTGGAGGATGCAGAAGGGAACAGATTAATTTCTGATTCTAAGGATGAGCTAGAAATTTCGGAGAGAAGGCAAATTTTTTTTAGTTGATGAGGGGACCACATTTGATGTTGAGAGCTGTTGAGATAGAATAGTAATGAAATTCGATAATCTAGAAAGATTTTGTGGTATCTGGTGCCTTACATAAAATAAGTAAGTTGCCATAATCTATTGCATGAGATCTAAAAATGTGCTATTGTTGTTAAGTATATTTGATGTTCTTTCCACTTGTTTTGTTTTTTTTTTTCCTTATATACTTACATGATTTTTTTTTTTTCCCTTTATAGGCTTATATGAAACTAGATTTCAACAAAACCGGGAGTGTGCCTATGGTAGATATCACAAAATGTTACTGTGCAAAGAAACATCCTCTAGTATTGGCAGGTAATTCACGTGAACAAAAAAAATTAGAGTTTTTAACTACTGAATTCATCTTCTTAGTAGAGATACCAAATCCAGAAACTACTTGCGAATACAAGCTATTTTCATACTGGCTTAGACTTGAGCTGTTAAGGAGAACTTTATTTCCTCTTATGACCTATAATGTGCCTATCTGGAACATGACTATAAATAGTAATGGAGTTCATATATGCAATTTTAATACTTGCTTTTTATGAAGCTGCAAATACTGCATATATGCAGAGTAGTTCCTTTCCCTACCTGTGTAGGACGACATTTAAGTAGTTAGTTCTCAGCTTTGGTGTGCAAGTTACCAGTCACACACATGATATTAGTAATTTTCACTTAGGAGGATGATCTAATTTCATATTACTGTTTTCCATCAAATATGCAAGGTTTCCAACCGACACTGAATGTACTCTGCACGTGAAGTTCCTTCTGAATAAATTATTCATTTATTTCTGGGACAGGGTTGTCATCCTTTACAGAGAAAGTGTTGGTATCTTCATTATTTTTTCAGGATTCTCAAAAATGTTTAAATTCTGCCATTGAAAAAATAGGAAATTAAATATTTGTATGTCAGTTTCTAAAATAACATCTCCCTATACAAAACTAGTCATTGTGAAGTCTCCCTAGCATCCCAACCCTTCCTGTTTTACCTGTAGAATAGAGGATGTTTTTTGTATTGCCAGTGATTTTAATGGTAACGCATGGTGGTACAGGGATGTTACACATGGAAATTTTTTTTTTAATGCTATAATGCTATATTTTTTCCATTTTTTTTTCCTCAATGCTATGAAATTATCTTGAATATAATCTTTCCTGAGTCACTAAAACACACATGTCAATTGCACAACGTTTTTCAAATGCAAACTTGCATTTTACGGTTTTCCTAGAGCTTTGAACTTGTGTTACATTAAACATACGCTTTATTACAAGATTACTTCTGAATTACCCCAATTTTAGTTTACGAATGCATTATTCATTTTTTTCAGTCATTTGAAGAAAAAAGTCTTCCTGATCTCGAAGCTCATTGAATTGACCATGCCTTCATACTTCCATTGATATTTAATGCTATCATCTGCTAATAAAGTAGAATGATTTCTGCAGGTGGTATTAAGTGAGCCAATGACTTCATTCTGAAATCAGAATATTTAATTTTTTCAAGAAAGAAAATTTGCAAGCTAAAATTTGAAAGTTTCTTGCCTGCATTATATTAAATGCTATATATTCAATGTTCTTGAAAATGTATTTAATGGAAAATATACTTTCACAGGCAAAGCTACAGAAGAAGAAATTAAATCATCATTTCTAGAAACATTAGGAGAGTCCTGCAGCAACCCCAATGAAGTGTCCTATTCGGAGTTCGAAGATTACTATGAAGGATTAAGTATTGGAATCATGGATGATGATGATTTTGTTAATATCTTAAGGAACCCTTGGGGAATTTAGAGTGGAAGACAACAAAAATGAAGAAGAGACATTTTCTAAACAAGGCGTGAGCTATTAAATAAGGGAGGATTTAGTCTTGATGTCCATTACTTCATAATTAGCGTCTTAAACTGATTTCAGGGACTGAAAATCTTAGATGCTTTCAGAATAATACATGGCAAATTTCTTATTGTCTGTTGAACTATGCTAACCACTTTTTTTAATATAAATGCTGTTCATTCCTTTTCATTGGAAATAATAAAGGCTGTTCCCCATACCAACAGGTGTCATTTACTAGATAATAGAATGAAGTGGCCTATTTTAAAACTAGAGGGAATTAGAATACTAAAATGCATGAAGGAGTATATGCAGGAGAAAATTTAGTTTTATGATGCATTGTGAAAAGCTTCAGATTTGACTGTATAAATATCAATGGTAGCTTTTCTTCTTACAAAAATAATGTTTATTCTTATAATGTTCTTTGTCTCATTTCTTGTTGCTTAATGCTGGTACTCATCCTGAAACAGGTCATCCTCTTCGAATTTTGAGGATGTCTTCAGCACTGAAAGTGCAGAGATGCTCACATGAATTAGTCTTTGAACTACTATGTGGACTGTCTTGACTGATCTTATTTTTTCATCAGGCATCCGAAGCTGAGCATTGAATCACAAAGGTTTTAATAAGCACACATATATTTTGTAATGCACTTCTTCCTTTCCTATATCTGGTTTCTGTATTTTCTATTCACGTGATTTGTTTTTTTAACTAAAACTTAGCAATTATATCCTTTGTCAAACTGATAATGTAGCATTTCCTGTCTACTCTGATAGTACAAAACAGAAAAGTGTAAAAAAAAAAAACCCAGAACACCTCTGTCACAACAAAAATTAAACCATGACTTAAAATATTCTTTGCTACTTCAAATATTCAGACAGATATCACAGAATCACAGAAACACTAGGTTGGAAAGGACCTTCAAGATCATCAAGTCCAACCATTAATCCAGCGCCACCATGTCCCCTAGACCATGTCCTGAAGCGCCACATCCACACGTTTCTTGAACACTTCCAGAGATGGCGACTCCACCACCTCCCTGGGCAGCCTGTTCCAATGCCTGACCACCCTCTCAGTGAAGAAATTTTTCCTAATATCCAATCTAAACCTCCCCTGGCGCAACTTGAAGCCATTTCCTCTTGTCCTATCGCTAGTTACTTGGGAGAAGAGGCCAACACCCTCGTCGCCACAACCCCCTTTCAGGTAGTTGTAGAGAGCGATAAGGTCTCCTCTCAGCCTCCTCTTCTCCAGACTAAACAACCCCAGTTCCCTCAGCCGCTCCTCATAAGACTTGTGCTCCAGACCCCTCACCAGCTTCGTTGCCCTTCTCTGGACACGCTCCAGCACCTCAACATCCTTCTTGTAGTGAGGGGATATGCTTTTCAATGTAATACATCTTGTTAATTCTGTAAAATTCTTTGTGTTAAGAAATAAAAAATATATTATTAATTAGATAGAGAGGTAGATAGCCTACCAAAATTAGCTGTATGTTGAACTGCATTTCTTAAGCCTATGCAATTAAAATATATCAGTTTTCTTTGTGTTTGCCTGCCTGGGTTTGAATGTATAGTCTGTGGTTAACAGAACCCTCCTCTGAGACAGAAGTTGTGTTTCATAGAATTTTAAGGGTAATGCTGAAATGAATGCTGAAATGAGGGACTTTGGTCCCTCTGTGGCGGGTTTGTTCTAGATACAGCACTTTGGTGTTCCGATAGCTTGTACATTGGTACCTTTTGATTGTGCCTCGTCATGACTTGTAACTGGAATTGCAGTTTCTGCTCTAAATCCTCAAATAAGGGATTTTGGGGGGTTCTTTTGGGGCTTCAAAATTCTGTATGTATTGGTTTACAGAGAAAGGCAAAGTCTGTCAATGCTTACTCTAAACAAGAATTCTGATGTGGCTTATTACGATTTTCTTACTCCCAATTCCTGCTGGAATTTCTCTTGGTGGAAGGACTTTGTTAATTAGTTTTCTTGGAAATAGTGATTCTGAGAAGGGCAATTTCATTTGGTTTTACAGGGATCTGCTTGTTAATGTGTCTGTTCAAATAACGGAAAAATACCAAGTGGCATTTTTATTAGTTTTTCAAAGAATCACCTGCTCTGATTAGACTTGTTCGCTTAGGAGAGTTGTACCAAGGTATAAAATTGTAGCTCAATTTAATAAATGTGAAAGTGATTGTGAAACGAGGCATTGACATATTTCTTTTTGCAATACTTCATTTTTTTGCAATGCTTCTGGGAAGATTATTCCACATTATCCTATGGAATGGAAAAATTGATGACAAGTGGCTGTATCCTTAGTGGGCCTGCTTATCAGCAGAGGCTGTATAGGTCACATCTGCTGCAAATCAAGCATTCTTTATTTTGCTCTTATCACTAAAATGAGGTGCTGTCACAAGAGCATTGTTTCCACAGCTTTGGTAGTCATGCATTTATTTTTTTTTTTCTTAATCTGAAGGCAGATCCTTAACAGGATAATCTATGATAAATTCTAAAGTTCAGAAATTTCCTGAAAATACAAGTAGGTACACTGGTAATTATGTAAAACCTGTTAGGTGTATAATTTCTATTAACTATGAGGTCAGTGGCTGCCTCAGAACATCAGATATGCTGTCTATGGTGAATTTTTAATGGTGTTCACCAAAGTAGTTTTCCATCTGCCCGCTGTTTTTCATTGTCTAAAGCTGAGATGGTAAAAAAGAATTCAAAGCAACTCCTACCCAAGGCTAGCCCACCGCGCTTATAGTTAGTAGGAAACCACAGAAACTGTATTCAAACCAGAGTCTGTCGTGTCTGACTTCTTTTCATTATCAGTGGTCTCAATGCCCTGATAAATTGCATTCTGATTTGCTCTTACTTACTTGTAAACGTTTGATGAACCTGAATCCTCTTCTTTGATCAATGCTTTGTAGCTTTAAAACTTTCTGGAGGTGTCTACTGGGCTTTACTGCCTTTAAATGTGTTTCAGACAAAACTTTTTCTACATCTGCTATCTTTCTCAGAATTGCCCATGTTTTCCGAATTAGGATTTGTTCTTAGTTAGGAGTGGTGTTCTCAGAGAAGCTGGCTGGCTTCTTTCCTGAAACTCACTGCTTAATAAAACTAGTTGTCTTCATGCCACCCTGATTTACACTTCTGCTAAAACGTCTTAGCAACGTGCCGCGATTGGGAATATCAGAAGTGCATTATCCTACAAACATATTTTGTCCTATTAGATGCGCACGCTCCCAGAAGACAAGTGGAAATTAATGAGGTGATGTAACTCCTCATTTTCAAGGTCTATGACCACTTCATCAAATGAATATGCACTGGCAATGTTAGCTGGAATGTTTAAGAGCATTTTTAAAAAGTAAAACCCAGGCACATGTGCAAACCTTCAGCAGCGTCACTTTGTCAGCTAATGGAGTACGGCATCCTCGCCCGGGATAGCTTTGTTGCAGAGAGGAGGCATTCTTACTGATTGACACCCACAAACTCATTTCTCTTCCGTACGAGTCACTGCCAGCTGGTCAAATTCTGTGGGTCTTTGGGGCCAGAAAAACAAAAAGATTAAAAATGTATCTACCGCTGCATGTTTGTACGGAGGTGCTGTTTAGTTTGGGGGTTTGAGATGGGGCTTGTTTGGGGTTTTTTGGTCCTGTGGGTTTTTGGGGATTTGGGGTTTGGTTGTTTGGTTTGTTGGTTGGGTTGCGTTTTTTTGAGCATGCTATCTCCGGATAGTAAAAGATAAAGCCTAGAACTGATTTCTTATGTGTTGATCTGTTAATCCATAGAAAAACAAAGCAGGTAAGTTTCTGTGGCAGAGAAAGGCAAGGTAGAAAATCACATGCTTTATTTTCTGGATATTACTCTAACACCTAATAATTTATCCTGCCTCTCCTTTATACTCACGGGTTTAGAAACTGAGATAATTCTGTACTTGCTTTTCACGTTGTTAACTATCTTGTCTTCGAGATGCCATCAGAAGGACTACGTTGTAATCATGAGGCATCTCCAGTGATGAGAGAAGCAAGTAGTATTTCCTACCAGACCTATTTAGGCTATTTTTTCCACGGAGAAATTTTCAAAATATTACCTGAAATAGAAGGTACTTAGGAAAGCATGCCATGGGTGATACCCACTTTACATTGCTTTACACTTCACGTGGGGAAACCCCAGGCTGTTATAAGGAAGCACAGGTTAAAATCAGCACCTTTGAGGATGTATCTTAAAGCAATATTCCCTTTTCTTACAACCTCTGTCAAGTAAGTGAACTCTTAATGACTCCTATGACTAATTCTGGGATCCTATCATTTGTCTTGGCACGAATTAAATCCTGCACTCACACTGGTAAAATTATTCCTCTGAAGTAATTTCTTTTGACAATAGTATTTGTCTTGCAGATGCTAGTGATTAACCGCAGGTTTCAGCTGTGAATACTGCAGCTGTTTTCATCCACTAGCCATTCTTGAATTCTCCTCCTTTCTCAGTGCTACATGACCAAAGGGAACAGCAAAAGAGGTCAAACCAACGCTACACTTTAACTTTTTTTTTTTTCCCCTTTAAAATCAGCATTTTGGAAGTGCCTGATACAGCAACACAGTTTAAACCAAGTTAGAATATGTTCTGTTTTTTATGGGCTTAATATGCTTTTGAGAAATACATGTTCTAGGTATTATTGTTGCATAGATCCAAGTGACCATAGGGAAATAAGCACTTGGAAAAGTTTGTTTGCTTGTTTGTTTGTTTGTTTGTTTGTTTGTTTGTTTGTTTATTAAAACCAAGACAGTGAGAAGGGAATCAGTTATCAGTGCCAGATAATTAACTTTCCATATTCCTTGTGTTTCTTTTCTGATACCCCTTCTTTCAGACTGTGTGGTTTCTAAGTTCTCTTTCCAATTTTATCTTGATATGCCTCCAAACTCTCTTCTTTTGGGAGCATCCTCTTGGAAATGAACTTCTCCAGTAACAGCCATAATGCTAAAGACTTTCCTGAGAGAAATCAAAATATGAAGTAACATCCAGCAACAAAAATCCTGGGGGAGAGGATAGGAGATGGGGCAGATAAAAGCAAACAGTAGCTGTTTGATGACGTTACTACTCATTAATATTTTTTGTTCATCCGTATCTTCCTTCTGGAATGCCAGCTGTGAAGAAAAACCTACCCAGTGGTATAGGTCAGTGTAAATACTTTTCCTTCACATACAGTCAGAAGAAATCAGTCTGGAAGAGACTTCACGAGGTTGTCTACTCCATTATCCTATGTTATCTGGAAAAAGAGTGTGTGTGCCACCTTCTCCTGGTGACTCCACCATATTCCCAGGTAGTCTGTTCTATTGCTTCCCTGCACTTCATGTTAGAAGTTCCATACAGATAAACCTGAATCTTTCTTGCTGCTGGTTACTGTTTCC